TATTGCATGGATCCAACTGCCACATAACAAATGCTACGAGTGTTATTTCAATTTCTCCTATTAATTCACTTCAGTACACAGAGGAGAGGGGTTACCTAGTATGGCAAACAAAAATCATAATGGTAGATTCAGGTGCTACCTGTGTTAGATATAAATTAGTTGGCTTTATGCAGCTCACCCAAATTCCTGAGATTTGATTTCCCATCCATTAAAAAATGTAGGACCCTAGACTAATTATAACAATGAAGGGTGACTTATTACCCTTATTATCTTTAATAGGAATCTCAAAAGCATCCCCAACAATTCTAGAATATATAAAAAGATAGTCATTAAGAAAAATGCAGCTTCAAGGCACATCTATTATACCAAACTTCCTCCCCAATCAGGACTTGCTGATAAATTCTGATGATTCACAGGCCCATTCGCTTGAACTCTAGGTTCTTTTTGTATATAATATGTTGTATGGATGTGTCACATATATACTATAATTTGCTATAATTAATGTAGATACTTACAAAGTAAAATACTGATTACATATGTCATATTTACCTTCTCAGAAAACATGAACAAAATCCGAATGTGGAAAACTGAGAATTAGACTGAAGATATCATTTAAGCAATATAAAAGAATAGGATTAATGATTTATTAAAGTGTTGAGAAACTGGGAATGCCTCAAAAATACTCCCAAGAATCTAAAGTCACTGCCTCTTGGTTTTTATACTGTATCAGATTTTCTTAAAGTATTATAAAAGTGTTATTGAGTCAAATACTAAAAATACTTGCTTTCTAATAAAGAAGTTTGCATATGTCACATTGTGGTATACCTTTTAGCACAGCAAAGTCTGAAAAGTGAGAAGACAATCATCTTACTCTCTGAAGTCCATTAAGGTGTACCTGTCTAAAAATATACCTTGCAAAGATCTTCAACTGTCCTGTATTTTTCTAAAGGTCTAGTATTTAAAAATTATAAGCTGTTATGGATCAAGCATGTTTTTGTCCACTCTTCCACCATGACCTAATTCATGTCAAAACCTTGCCCTCTCAATATGATAGTATTAGGTATAGGTTCATTTGGGAGGACATTAGAATTTAATGAGATCATGACAATCGAGTGTCATGAATAGGATCAGTGCCTTTATAAGAGTCACAGGAGAGCTTTTTGCTCTCTGCTTTGGTAGGACACAATGAAGAGGCCATATGCAACCCAGAAGATGGTCTTCACAAGATCCTGGACAAGCTGTCTACCTGTAACTTGGACTTCTAGTCTCCAGGGCTATGAGAAATAAATTTCTGTGCTTATGAGATACACAGTTTATGTGTATTTTGTTAAAACAGCGAGAAGTGGGCCCTCCCTGCTGGTGCAGCAGGTTGGAGCACTGCACTGTGAAGCTAAGCGAAGCTGTGGCCATTTCAGTGTGAGTTCGATCCCTGCCCTGGAGGTGACCCACATGGTGCAACAGACCTCTCCTATCTTGCCTACTGCTCCCCTTACTGTGTACTTCGTCCATCTGCCTGTTCTGCTCCCAACTGTTTCTGGTGAATCCTCTCGCTGTCCCTGCATCTCTGTCTGTACCCCATTTCTGTATGTATAAATAAATAAATCTTTAAAAAAAAATAAAACAGCCACAACTGACTTAAGATAATATCTAATATGGAATAAATATGAAATAAAAGTATAAATGAACACAAAGAAAGTGATTTATTTCTTATTTCAACTCTTCCAATGATTTATTGAGATGCTGATTTCATTATTTCATCTAATACTAAGTATCAATAAAGGTATTTTCTTATTCCCTTGAGTTTTTATGTTTCTAAAAAAACACAACTAGGGCCCTCCCTGGCGGCACAACCGGTTAAAGTGCAGCACTACAAAGCTAGCTGTAGCCACTTCAGCAGTTCAATTCCAGGCCAAGAAGCTGACTCACATGGTGTGGCAGACCTCTCCTGTCTCATCCACTGTTCCTCAGAGGAGTGTATTTCGTCAGTCTGCCTGTTCTGCTCCCCACTCTGTCCCTGGTGAATCCTCTCACTGCCCTTGTACTTCTGACCTGCACCCTAGTTCTGTATGCATAAATAAATAAATCTTAAAAAGAAACACACACACACACACACAACTAGTTGATAGCCACAGTAAACATAATCTCAATACTATTACATTTCTCATTAATATACTACTAAAAAAGACCATGTGTTTCAATCTGCAATGAATACATTTTAACAAACTAATTTCTTTGTATTTGATATTCATGGAGGTGGAAATATTTTAAATAACACTATAATCATAGAAAAAAAAGTTTCTTCATTTTATGTTTTAACTGTCTTGCTTTTATTTCCTTAGTTAAGTAATAACTGTTTAATAATTTTAGAACCTAGTTACCATTTCTATTTCCCTTAAATTTGACATATGTGATGGACTATAAAGTGTACTTAAACACTGAAAACTCAAAAGAAATGATGAAAGGCAAGAGTGTCCAGTATAATGTTCAATTTAAAAAGTGGATTACAAAAAGTGATACATATTATCATTCCATTTCAATTTTAAAAATGCAAAGAATGGAAAGATAGAGGCATTAAAATGTTGGCATGTTCCCTGATATGGCTTTTCAAATTGTTTTTCTTTTAATTTTTTCAACACAGAACTTGTAAGTTTCACCAAATCAAAAGAAATATATTAGCATCACTGTTTACATTATATTTTTACAAAAGCATGTTGCAAATTAACAAAATATATCAACATCTCCAGTAAGTCTGAAGATTTCAAATTTGTCCAAAAGTAAAGCTGTTTCCCTGTACAAGGACTCACTCTGCTGGCAAAATAGAGAATATTTTATCCTAAAATTCCAGAAATAATTGCAGTATTTTCCACAGGCACTAGAGGGCAGGGTTTTCACAACAAAATTCAATTTTATCAGTCATCACTATATCTTGACATAGTTTTTATCTGCAGTTTCTGCTAAGATGAGGACAACTATCACTGTACTTATATATGCCCTTTTTACAAATTGTGTTTCTAGTAACAAAATAATTTCAAATTAGTTTTACTCCCATTAGATTATATCATAGCTGATTTATCAAATATAAAAATAACTTGTCCCTACTTACATATTGAAAGGATTCATACACATATATATGTGTGTGTATATATATATATATTTACATTAAATATACTTACTCAAAACTATTTTCAGGCCTTTATTGACAAGTATGTAATCTAAACCTCTGTCCTGACACTCTCTCATATTAAAATTGGGCAGCTAACAAATAAAACACACTTGCTGCTGATATCCATTCCTACCAGTTCTGGTTCAATAAATTATCCAAAGACAATTTTTTTAAAAATTAGACAAATAGCCCCAGAGTTTCAGATTTTTAAGAGAACACTGACATGCCTTTCCTTAACTCCAATAACCCCTAACATATATGAAGGTTTATACATTCTGTCGGTGGAGGCAGAAAAGAGCTGAGAAGGAAAATGACATTTGAAGAAAAATCGCAAGACTAAAAATCATGGCATTTCAAAAGTACATCACATATTTTGGGAATGCAAATCAATGATACCCTATAGTATAGAGTACATGTCATTTGGATAAATACTATTGTTATAAGGTGGATTTTATTTTGAAGTCACTGATGACTTAAAAAGAGAAAGCTATGTGTAAGGTCTGTTTTTAAAGATAACAATATACAGAAAAATTTAAGAAAAGTGTAAAGCTGGAGTAGAGGGGACAAAGGAGTCAAGTAAACTAGGAATGACTTACATAAAGAAAAAAACATTGGAGATAGAAAGTATTCCCATAGCATTTCAAAAAGAGAAATGAGTGGATTTGGCAAAAGGATAAATATAGTAAGCTTTTAAGTAAAATGAGTAAGATCTTAAGCCTTGGTAATTTCAGTGACTACTGATGCCTGTAAGACAGACTAGTTTTCGTAATTCTACATGCACAGTGGTCTCTGAAATCCAGGTCTCTGCAAGACCTACTTATAATTAGCTTTTTGACTGCTAACCAAAAACTATAGGATGGCACTGTGGCATATCTCAGTAAAATCAAAATTTTTAAAGATATAAGACAGAACTTGAGTTCAGTAACTGAGATCAGTAGTACCAAATATTATTAAAAATAACCACTATTTTGAGTCCTTCAAATAGAATCTATTTGATCTCTATTATCTGTTCATAAGGTTTGGGAGCTGGTAATAATAAAAACAATATCTATCATAGTCTGATAACATACATATCTAATGGAAGTTATTTTCTATTTTTGTCCCCCCTCCCCCTTAGTTTTTAAAATAAAATGCCACCTTGGATGCTCTTATTTGGAACTTTGTATCTAAAACCTGAGCTTTCCTGGCATAAACAAACTAGATTAGAAAACCACCTACTCAATTTTCTGAAACTCTTTAGCACATAGAGAAAACAGGGCAAAAAAATTTAATATTGTTCCATTAGGTGTGTAGTGAAATGAATCTAATATGGTATAGACACACTAGGTGCCATAAATGTTTGTTAATTATCAAATCAAACGTTTAAACCCAAAATCCAATTCAAAGAAAAGTCTAATCCAGTGAGGGTGTTTTAAGTCTCACCATTTATAGGACTCTAGTAAAACTTCCACATTACTCATATTTAGCCACCATAAATTGTTCTAAATGAAATTGCATCCCAAAGAACAAACAGCAATTAAATTTCTCAATTCTCAGATCCTTGAATTTCATTTTTAAAGGATGATTGCATTATCCAGGTATGGAGCTTAAATGTTTTTCCATTTATTCAAAAGCTGAGCCAAGCCAAACACATTATCATTTATATTTTACAAATTAAAGGTTGGATTTTTAATAAATAATCTCAAAAATAAGTAGTATCTTTCTTCTGTTAGTATTTTATTTTTTAAATAATAATTTGCTTTTTTAATTGTGGTAACACTAGGATTTTTTCCATCAGCTATTTTTTCATGTTTTAAACAGATTTGGGATGGGCAAAAAAAGAAACAGGAACACTTACTTGAACCTGGCAGGTGAAAGAGGAGTAGGAGGAAACATTCCTGGTTCAAAAGAATCGAAGTAAGTCACTGTCCAAGAAAAGCTGCAGCAGGAGAATCCCGCAGTTATGGATATTATAAGTAGAGTCCAGAATCCTTAATGGAAAAGAGAAGGAAGGGATAACTTGAATTATTAAGACTACAACAATTTTAAAGTGCCATCCTCAAGTTCAAAAGATCATGTGTATTTGTGCCCTTTTGAACTTTAGGTGACGTAAGAGATCTGAGCTTACTATAAGCTTACACATGTAGAAATGCGAAATACTAAGGCACAATTAGAAGTTGTATATTTGAATATTTTAATTGAGTTAAATTTACTGTGTAGAAAAGAACAGCTATTCAACTTAAGAATATAACTCATAGTTTCATAAAATTCAATAAAGAATAACATATGAACTACAAGTTTTCCTGCTATACAAAAAGTACCACTTCATTTTGGCAATACTTCAAAAGCCCAGAAACAGATAAAACTACAAAAGACAGAGGAATGAAGCATTAAGAAAATTGTAGCAAAATATTTTTGAAAGAGTATCTTTTCTGATAGCTCTATTTCCCTTACATGCTCTTAAAGAGGTAACAGACTTTGTGTGTTTACTGGGTAAAAGCAAAGGTCATAAAGCAAAAGGAGAAATAGCCTGAATTTCTCTTCTGTTCTTATGTTGCAAAAATCAACTAAACTGGAGAACAGAGACAGTATCTCTTCTTGAGAAACAGCAAGGATAATGAATGACTGGGGTATAGATAAAAGGTTTGTAAATAACAAGGAGAAAGTGTAGTCCTTCCTTAGTTTTTAAGAAATCACGCTATGTCCATGTGTTTGCAGTTGTGTGAGTGTACTGAGTGAAGAGTGCCACTGGGCCTTCTTGGTAGAGCCATGAAAAGGGGCTACTCAACACCAGAGGATTTACAGTTGTGAATAGTCTTGTGTGGTAGGCCCTCAGGTAAGCCTTCAGATGTTTCTGCTTTAAGTGATGCATGGGAACAACAAATGGCTGAAGGTGCTACATCTGAGAAAGCCAAAATGAGTGTTTTCAAACTTAACTCATTTGAGCACGTCTTGAGAGTTAACTTGTCCCTCCATTCCAAAACCCTAGCATTGTATCAGCCTATAGAATTTTACCCCAACCTGGGCAGATAGTCGTACAATCTTCGGTTAGACCAATAAGACAGGGAAAAAAGTACAGTGACTCAGTGTACAATGACAACTTATGGATGACTATATTGCTAAACAGCTGTTATTGTTTAGATGAATACCTGTAATGAAAAAATAACTGAGTTTACTCAAAAATCTTAAAATGCATAAAAGTCTGTGGAAAAAAAGATGGTAATTAAGAAAAAAAAGCTGAGGTTTGCTATGTAAAGATGAAATATCTAAATATCTAAGAAAAAGTGGGAAAGACAAAATAATGGGTGAATAACAAAATGTGAGATAAAGTTCATCCTGGCTTTCCACTTAAGTGCTGTTTAATACCTCTCAAATTTAAATAAGAATACTCTAAAGCTATCAGAAATGACATCTTAGTCCATGATCTAAGAGCTTGCTTGACTATGAACATTTAAACTAGATGTGCAATTTGCACTAATGAACAGCCACATCACTGATAAATGCTAGGTCACAATGACAATGTAATATTGTGGTTTAGAAGTGCTCATGCCTCTTTACTCAATTTATGATGAAATAGGAAAGCCACAGAAGTTAGCAACTCTCAACAATTGAAATTGTTAACAAAACACTGTTTCCAGAATCTGGAAGCCAAAAACCTGATAACTAATGTTTTGCAAACCCATCTTACCAATATGTAATTTCATTTTTAAAAGGTAGAAAAGCTTATTAAGTTTGTGTTTCTTCTCCAATACTACTCTTCAGAGTAATCAGCTAAGAGTCTGTTGTGAATCTTTTCAAAAAATACAGGGAGTGTGGCTAGATATATGAAGCTCTTACATACAAGTAATGTACAATACGTATACATTTTATCAATTTATTTTCCACAAATGGGATTATGACCAGAAAAACTGTCCTTTATTTTGCTGTTTCAACACAGCAATGTTAGGGGACCTTCATATCAGTACACACAGGCCACAATGCCACTGCATATCTATATTCACTTTTCACTATCACTTTTCACTATTAAAAATGAAGCTCTAAATGAAAGTCATATCTCTACACTTCACTGAGCAAAACAAGGATATATACCTATAACAAATTTGCAGAGGAAGAACTGCAAATTATCTTCCCTATAATTCGATTTTCAAAAATTGATGAAATGGTGGTTTTTGAAACCTCTGAGTCAAATTATATAAAGATGTGCAGACAATAATTGCAAATTTTATATGTAAACTGAAATGACCAGAAAAACATACAAACCTCCATGTTCCCACACTAAGAAAGGTTTCTTATTAAAACACTGTTGTGTAATTAGTCAAGCATTCTTCACAAAACATTGCTGCCATAAGAAAACAACAGGACTAAAAATGGCAGTAATAATTTTAAGTCCTATTTTAGAATTCCAAACAGTTTAAACAGACTTGGTATATGAAATATGCATATTAACAAAAAAAGAATGAAGTAGATCCATGCATAATGATAGACATTTCAATAAAACCACAGAATACTCATGATTCCAAATGTTTTTATTTTTACAAACAAGAAAACCACATACATAATCACTACATATATATGTACATAAATGAACAAGAAAATAATCTATAAATATGTACAAATGTATTACTGGAAACCTCTGCTTTAATTGCTGGAATTCCCTAGTAAGTCCATTGCTTAAATTAAAATGATTCATTTAACATTAGGTAATTAAGAAATTATGACCAGCTGACTAAGATAAAAGGCAGCATTTCTTTTTCTGTCTACAACAGATTACCTCGACAATATTGAAGATTTTGCACTGTTTCTTTTAATTGAACACTTTTATATGAATAATAAAAGGACAAAATTTCTCTAGCATTTCTTCAGGGATAAGTTAAGGCAATCATTTTTGGTATCTGTTTTTCAACTCACGTTTAATTCTTTTTTAAAAATACATTCCTTATTTATTTTACATCATTGTTTATTTTTGTAAAATAGTTCTCCCGTCGGGTGTAATCACCATAAAACTCCTACCACCATATCACCCATGAACTGTCACTATAGTCCCTTGTGCCCTTCCCTCCCATTCTCCTCCTGTATGTTTTTCATTTACCTGAGTCCTTTTTTTCCCCCCCTTTTCCTGACCCCTTGTTCAGTTTCCCTATATTCTTTCTATTAAGTAAAATCATCTTACACTTTTCTTTTTCTTCTGATGTTATTTCATCAAGATTAATCCCTTCTAGCTCCATCCATATTGCTGGGACTTTCATAGCATACGTTTATCTTTTCTGATTGCTGAATATTCTACTGAGTTCACAGTTAATTTGGATCCAAGTCAAAGGTCAAGGGAACAACTGACCTACTTTTCAAGTATCAATTATTTCAAGTGGACCTTTAACCTAGACAAATAGTCAATTCAAAACATTATTTTCCAAAGAGGTTAATTTGTATTTTTCTCTTAAACAGGAGGGAATTTAATACTAATCCCCTGGAAATGGATAGAATTAGTTTATTAAGTAATGCTGAAAACATTCTTCATCTGCCCCCTGGAGAATTGGTTTAAAACAAGGATCTTTGTTTTGGCATTAACTATTGTTTATGGGACATTCTGCCAGCACTATTCAGTAGTTTCTTTTAACTCCTGAGATGATTCTTGCATCTTGAAAGTGAAATACCATTAATAGTGATTTAGGTAATGATGTTTTTACTTGTTGTAATGGTAATATGTATTTACCAACCAGTACCAAAATATTTACAGAAAAGGAAGAAAAATGTAGATGACAAAGCCCTATTATATTCCTTTTGATATTGAACAAATCATTCCTTTAGATGACAAGTGGCACTCATACGTGTAATAAATGTGAAATCTTGCCATCTTTTAAACAGCAAATTAGAATTCTCAATAGTTTGTAGATTGCATTTCCACTGCACCAAGAGTTGACATATCAAAAAATGCTATGAAAAGTCCCAGAAACTTGGCTATTTGAGATGAAACATTGTAACATACTGATAAAATGAGTTAACTAAAAAAGTACAAGCAAGAAGTGCAAATAAAGTTTTCAAGGGACATCAGCAAACTGATTTTTTTGTAATTTGAAGATATAAAGATTTCTCCTTCAGCAAAATCAGGTATGCTGTACTTCAATTCATATCATTGTGAGAACATTAACCTTAAAGAGGTAAATTAAACAGTTATCTAAGATTTGAAGAGAGATAACATTCAGGATAGGAAACTTTTCCCACCCCAATATAGAGTGACCAGATAATTTACAACAAATAGGAGTGCAATACTCCAGAAAGTTCTGAACTCTTCAACATTAATTTAGCCAAAAGAAACAAATGTTAAGATAAATTTTTCACAAGCCTATAAATTATTATAGAATGCAGGGCTGACTCTTTCCTAGTCCTCACAAACAAATATGCCTATAAATTTTTTTTTGAACCTTAAAATATAATGCCAGTATTTTTAACAAAATTTTTTAAGTTGCTTATAGAGAGAGATCTCAACATAATTTTTATAAATTTATGAGGGAGTATTATTTGTTTTTAAGTCCTGGGGGGAAAACTGTAAGGAGACTTCCAGAAAGTAACTAGAAAAGCTAATTACTCGCTGGGTCTTAATCACATACGTTTGTGTTCAAAATGCATTATTAGTGTGTGTGGTGTGTGTAAAAATGTATGCACATACCATCCATGTATAAAAAAAACCATTTAATAAAATTTACCATAAAATAAAATGAAAAAAAAAAAGATAATTAAGGGATTATATTAAGATTTTACCCAAAATTCTGTTTAAACATCATGTGGAAAAACAAAAACTAGCTTCAAAATCAAATCAAGTGACAATTAAGTTCCATACCTAGTAGCCCAGTGTCCACATCACCTTCATTCTTCGAATTCTCAGTGTGCAATTCTGCAAATACACAAAAGGCCTTGTGTAAAAAAGTTGATTATATAATTTGAACAGTAACTCAAAGGCTGGAAGTCAACCTGGAGTTAGGATAGTGTCCTGGAGTCAGAAAGAACTGGGTTCAAATTCTGATTCCATATGCTAGCTAGGTAACCTTCAGTAAGACATCTATGAGTCAATAATACATTTTTGTATAATTCGCATCACTGGGCACACTAGATTTACAGTTCACTTCCCTTATTTAGTCTCCAAAATCAGCAAAGTTCAATGTTTTGCAATGGACTACTATTTACCAGGTTTTGTGACTGTATGATACAAAGGCCCAAGAGAAATAAACTACCTACAAAATAAACTTACGGGAAAACAAGGGCTGGGAGGGAGGGAGGGCAGTGTTCTGAAAGCACCCAAATATTAAGATTGAAGTTTATGCCCAATAGCACTTTGCAGACATAAAACTTGAAAATTAACTTGCCAATCTGTCTTTTTTATGAAAATGAAGCCATGATAAGTTGTTAAATTCCATCTGCACCATACCAGTGTCTTGGAAACAATGAGAATTAAAAGGAGTAGAGTTAAAACATTTAATTCTTTTAGTGAAGTAAAACTAGTATGTGAGCAACAGTGTTGGGTGCTGTTCATACAGCAAACTGAAGTAAACTGTTGGTTTGTTTCCTATAACTAGGCCAAAGTCCCACACTAATGAGAAATGGATTTAAATTCAAGTGTAATTCTTTTCACTGTCACATAAAATAGCCAACCAAGTAATTCTCTTGTATAAAGTTTGGAAGGCCTTTCAAAACACATTCTTTTTTATTCCAAATGAAGGGAGAATTCAACTTCAAACACCAGAAACTAAAAGTATTATAGATAGCTCCTGCAAAACACTACAACCACCACACGAGTCGTTAAGTCTAAATTTAGGAGCTAATTATTTTTTTACCTACAAACACAGGCAGTCGGATGGAAATTTTGTCCTACAGCAATTCTGAATGTAGAGAGGAATGAGCAAATAGTACATCTTTGTGGATTAACATCTTGAGTTATGGACAGCCTGCTTAAAATTACTGTTACCACCTCCTTTTAAATAATGGTTGTTCTGCATTTTGCTTAGTTTTCCATATTTCACTAACTTTAAGAATCACTGATTCTTCAAGAGTACCCACTTAATCATGACACTTTCTTAAAAATGCATCTTCAACACCCCTACACTGTTCCTTGTAATTATGTATGCTGAAGAAGTTAAACTGTTGGAATGATTGGGCAGTGTATACAAATAACAAGTCATTATGGTGCACACCTGAAATTAATATCACACGTCAATTATACCTCAACTTTAAAATGTAAAATAAGTTGGGTCTCCTGAGCTTGGGCCCGCCACCTCGAATACAAAAAAAAATGGGGGTGGGCAAAGAAAGGTGCAGATGAAGACTCAGTGAAAACTGCTATGAGCTTGCCGGCCTCAGAGGAGGAGATGACAAAGTTGAGAACCGCCTCCAAGCTCAATTTTACTCAACACAGATTTTCTCATGGCCCGAACTTCAGTACCTTTTACGATCAGATAGGTGATGGCGAGGAGGAAGGCGAGGAGGATGGCGAACAGCAGTGAACAGAGAATTGAGAGCACCTGGACCGGCCACCGCCTAGCATGGGACGGGCCAGCCGCAGCAGCAGTGACAATGCCATTGCGTTTATCGGGGAGAAGCGGGGACCCGGCCCCGTCTGGCTGGGGTAACCAGTTCTTCCGAGGCTCCGACGACGCCCCGGCCGAGAACTCCGCCCGCAAGTCGCGGGCCACCGGGTCGCATTCCTCTTCCTCTTCTTCACCCTCACCCCAACTGTCCCCTTCAATAAAGGAGGAAAACGACTGAGCGTATGGTGCTGGGGTACCAAGACGGCGGCGCAGGGGAGGCGAGCGCCTCTCGCTCTCAACGAACGACATGGCGGGAAAGAGAGCGCGGTCCAAGGAGCGCCAGCGTCCCCTACGAGTCCCGCCCCGCACTCGCGGCAGCCAATCAGCAGCTGGGTTCTGCCACGGCCTCCACCACCGGGCGAAGGCTGGCAGGGGAGCCCGAGGGTGCGAGGCGGGACGGACTAGGTGCCCAGGGACCCCCCCAAGTGTGGCTGGGCACTCCTAGTCCACAGTCCGATCCTGGGACCTAGGGGGTATAGGGGAAAAGGAAGCAGGCAGGGAGAAGCGCGGCCGAAGATAGCGACGTCTTCTCCCCACCCTTGTTTCCTCCTGGCCAGAGACCTCAGCCACCCCCGCGTCTCCTCCTGGCAAGCGCGCGCGGTGGCAGCCCCAAAGCCGCGTCTTCCTAACGTCTGGTCCTAGCGCCCGCCATGCCGGCCGGATTCATAATCCGAAACTGTTTGCCTTCTTCCAGCTACGGGGGCACTCTCCCCGCCTTCCTTAGTTGGCAATATTCACACCTGGCGCGGTAGCCTCGCCTTAACTGCCCGTTCCTATATCTGTAGCATGGTTCTCCCCGCCCCTACCACAACTTCCCTCCACGCTAGTCGACTCGCTTTCTCCCCACTTTTCCTGTGGCTGCGCTCTCCAGCCTGTGACTACAGAGCTCGAACTCTCCTCTAGAGTCCTCCAGGGTTTCCAGCTCCTACCCTCCGCCGGGAGCAGCCCGCGCGCACTTACCGCGCGCACTCTCCCAGCCAGAGCCACCACAAACGCTAGAAGCTGCTTACCCCACCCCCACCCTACCCCATCCCTGGCGGCCTCAGCTTTAAGGGGCGTAAGTAACTCCGATGAAGATGTGAAAGGTGGCAGGCCCCCGCGTACTGGGCGAGGCGGTCTAAACTCGGGAAGCTGGAATACGGTAGTGTTCCCTTTCCTGGGGGAAGTTGGTGGTTTTCCCGGCAGACGGTTCGGCGCAAACACTTCCTCCATCCCCCTCCCCCAGCTCCGTGCTGGCGACGCCGACTGAAGCTGAGTCTGGGGGCGAATCGCCGCAGAGCTGCGTGACGGCGACGCACTGTGATTGGACAGCGGGAAAGCCTGTCAGTTTATTAGCCTCGTTGATCCCGCCCTATAGCGCCGGGCAGCCTTTAACCTTTGGCCCTAGCGGGCGTCAGCCACTCAGATCGGTTCTTGTTGGTCTGTGTAGCGGCAGTGGCCGCCGGCGGAGCAGTCTGAGCCCGACGATGAGGCCGGGGACGGGAGCCGAGCGTGGAGGCCTCATGGTGAGTGAAATGGAGAGCCATCCTCCCTCGCGGGGTACCGGGGACGGGGAGCGGAGATTGTCCGGCTCAAGCCTCTCCTCCAGCTCTTGGGTTGCTGCTGACGGCTTTCTGAGGAGACGGCCCTCGGTAAGGGATCGGTGGGGCAGGAGGAAAGCGGCACAATGAAAAACGGAGTCAGAGACAGGAAGCGTTCTCTAAAAGGAGATGAAGCTGAGAGTGGACGAAGAAAGACCTCGAGATGGTGGGATACGTTCCGAGGGAGGGAAACGGAGAGCGGGGATGCACAAAGGAAGGATGTGGGACCCTGGAAGTTCCCAGTGGGCTTGGCCTAGACTGATGTGTGGTGGAGGTGCTGGGCCCTGAGCCCTGGGCGGGCTGAACGTCTTGGAGAGGTAGGCCCGATTTGGTCGGGAAGGGGAGGCGGAGACTTAACTCCGGACTCTGAAAAGAAGCTACCAAAATCTCTTCATCGGTTGTAGTCGTGTCGACCGAGGGAGTAGAGAAGGCCTGTTGGGAGACTTGGCAAGATACAATTACCTGGTTTTAAGATCTGAAATAACGGGCATACAGGTCAAGAAAGTAGTTCTTTTAAAATCTCACTAAAATGGATGGATGAGTAGTTTACTTAGTGTCTGACACACACCTTATTATTTGAAATTGATTTTTGGGCTAAAGTAATGTTACATGTTAAAGAGTCTGTTAGGGACTACATTTATTTGTTAGGAGTGAAATGTTTTCACTGTCGTTTGCCCGCACTGTGTGTTTTATAAGACCGACACTCGATCTGAGTTAATTTGGTATATGCAACGTTTTGAAGTTTAAAAAACCATTTTGGAATAGTTTTAAGAGTAAATGCCATTATAAAATAACCAGTAGCAACCAGCTTTAGGTCTGTGTGAAACAAGACAAAGTTGTGGTTTCCGCTGTATCAGTTTTTAAATTGGCTGTCCCATGCATTTCTTGCTATTTCATTAAGCCAGTTAGCATACTTCAAAAATAAAAATAATAAAAGATTTAATTTTCTGGCAATGATTTCTAATATTTGTGGTTTCTTCTGGAATTTGCTCAGTTGCAAGTTGATTATAAACGAGAAAATATAAGAAAATACAAACTGAACCGAAAATTGAATCACATTAGTCTAATAGCACATGCCACTTCAGTAATTGTTTTGTAGAAATCAGATTTTTAGAAACATTTATTGTGACTGCTTAATTTTTAAACTGGCACCATTTTTCAGATGGGGCATCCTGGAATGCATTATGCCCCAATGGGAATGCACCCCATGGGTCAGAGAGCGAATATGCCTCCTGTACCTCACGGAATGATGCCGCAAATGATGCCCCCTATGGGAGGGCCACCAATGGGACAAGTAAGAATGTTTTTGTTTTATTTTGTATTTATTTATGTTTGCTTGTGGTATTATGTCAAGGTTTCAAAATCTGGGTCAAAACTTTAACAGCTGTTAAGGATTAGTTATGCCAAAAAAACGTTTTCAAAGAAGTCAAATGTTGAATCATGACACTAACACAATTTTGAATGTAATAAGCCTTCTGTGTAAAAGATCTACTTTCTACTGCAACCAGACTATTTTTTTTATTTAAATAAAACTGTGCCTCCATGCTTTTTAGTTTAATAACTTCCCCTCCAACTCTGTCAATCGAATTAACCTTCAAAGAGTAAATAGTCTCAAAGATCAGCATAATTTGTTAGTGGACTGTGTAAATGCATAGAACCTGAAAATAGCAATTGTGTATTTGACTTAGGGTGGCTTTTATTTGTGAAGTAATTTCCATAGGGGTGTGTGTGTGTGTGTGTGTGTTCATGTGATGGGGGTGGAAGTGAGGAGGTTCTATTCTAATTTGATTCTTCATATGACAGTACCAAATGGAGAGATGGAGAGTTCATTTTTCACTTACTCTATTTTATTGGGTGTGTTTGTTTTGTTTTTAATGCTTATTGCTTCTGCACTCCTGCATTTGGGCTATCCCTTCCATCTCCAGCATAAATTGTAAATGAACATTTTGTAGGGGTGATTTAAATCAAAAGTGGTAATGCTAACTCTGTGAATTCAGTTGAACTGAGTTCCTGGAGAAGCTTCCAAGAAAGGTAACAGTTTCAGTTACCATGAGTAGTTTCATGTCCCTTGTGATATTCTGTAATGCATAAATCCTTAGGTGACTGGGTTCTTTCCATTTGAATATCTCAGTAAATCATAAAAAAATTAAGCCAATCAGCAATTTTGGAAAACCAGTCAAGTAGGTATGATCTTTTTGCTGATTAATGCTTTTTTATTTTGATAATCTTCAAAGTGTTCAGTTAAATTTATTGATGAAATTTTAGTAGAAACAGGAGCTTTCTTTATGTCTTTTAACCTAAGGATTGTACTTAACTGTCAAGTGGTTTTCTTTTTTTACTTGGAATATAGCCTTTATTTTTATATATAATATCTAGTCAAAGGCAAAGGCCCAAAAGATTATGTTTGTAGGATAAAAGAGAACCATTTATTCTGTTATACTAGCATAACACAATTTTTAAAACTCCCTACTGATGGAGAAACAACCTTGATTCATTCCTCTTCTGTTTCTTTCCATCTCTGAGCAGAAAGGAGCTCTTGGTTTCTTAGTAGAGCTGCTCTAACTAGATAATGAGCTTTAAAAATATTTATTCTATAAATGCTCTGGTTCTTATTTAAAATTAGTTTCTTTCCACAGAAAGATAAAATAAAACAATTTGCTACTGCCAGATGCTTCTCTCTTTTCTGGGGCCTTCTGTTTCCATTGGGCCAATCAAGGTAAGTTTTGCAAGGGATTGACCTGCTTACCCTTGCTGTAATGGTGCTTTTGCACTGCAAAACCCAGATTCCAGCTAGTCATATCTAGTAAAATGCAGAATTTTTTTTTTTTAAGTATGCTAGTGTATCTTATGACACAAAATTGTTCACATTTTACACTATGGCCCTTTTTCTTTAGTGGTATAAGTGACCATTTTCCCAGAAAGGTTACTTATTAATTGGTACACATCCATTCAGATACTCTAAATTTTGTCTTGTGGTTTTCTCCTATTTCTTTTTCTAGTTCGATATATGCTATGTGCCCATAAATATACAAGATGTTTAGAACTCGGTTTCTCCTATTGGTTAGGATAATGAACAATGTCATAGAAGTTCAGCTCTAAGGGTCCCAAGAGATTCCACCTTTTTTTTTTTTTTTTTTTAGCCCTTTAAACTTGGATCATTCTCATATTCCTCTTTTAATATCTTAACAAACTAGAACTCAAATTTGGTAAAACTAATTCTTACTTTAGCTTCAATAACAGACTGGGAGGGCAGGGATAATTTAAATAAGTTAAACTTGAAACTAAATTTTTGTAGCAATGAAAACTACCTTTAAAGTAGTAGTTAATTTTTAGTAAAAATTACTGCTTTTTTCTGTATTATTTGTTCTGTCTACGTGTTCTTCATAAGTTTTAAATGAACAAGAAATAGTGAAAAGATAATGATCATAATAAGCAAGGTGCTTATTATAATTCATTGTAGTGACTGTTGCAAGGTTGGTATGGTTTCACAAATCAATTTTTAAAAAGACAGTTTACAAATTCTTTGGACTTTGGGACAAAAGGTTATGGAATCTCCTTCATATGTATTGCCTAGTTCCATTAAGATCTCATTAAAGTTGGTAGCAGTCTTACCTAGTAAATAATTGTATAATTTTTGGAATATTATTGAACACAGCATGAAATTTTAAAACTTGCTTGAAAATTAATATACAAATTAGACAAAATATCAGTCTGCTGCAGTCAGAGGTCGTAGTTTTTCAAGTACAGCAGTTCTTTTTTAAATTCATGGGAATGTCCTTTTATAGAATTCAATATTAGAAAATATTTGAAAATCATCAAATAGAGCTTAATATTTCTTTCAACCTTATCTTAATTATTATTTGAGTAAATTTGCCTCATATATTGACTTCAGTGGGAAAGGTGCTACTTTAAAATTATTGGATCTTACATGGTGTCTGAGTTAAGTAATGATTTATTACTGGTTAGAAAACGATATTGGTAATTTACCTGCTCAGTGGTAATACGCAAAAAATTTCCAGTGGAAATTTGCTTTGGGGAAAATTATGTATGGGGTCATCTCTTAATCCGTTTGTATAATAAATGTATGTTCACATCTCACTCATTTGTTCTTTACACACAAAAGACTTACAAGTCCTGCTGTCTATATTACAGATGGTTTTGCCTTCACTTAAATCCAAAAGACTCCTAACAGACATTTTTCTTTTTTAAAACCTCCTTTTAATGAGTACAGCAGAATAAAAGTTAACATCCCTTTCAAATAATAGATTATGATTCAGTTGTAATCATTTGATAAGAAAAGCAGATACTATATGTATGAGATTTTGTGGGGCAGTACTGAAATAAAGGAACAAAATAATTTTAGTATTGCCTCCCTGATTCGAACTGTCCATTTCTCTTTTTTTTTTTTGCATTTGGTCTGTAAACTAATGCACGAATACTTGATTTTCAAAGGTAAATTTGATGTGTCTTTTTTATGTTGAGTAAGACAGACTTTAAAGATCATACTTATATTCTTGCTGCCATTTGAATAGTTATTACTCTCCCATGCCTACTATATGCTTAACTTTTGAGCTGTATTTCTTGTTTTAAGGCATCTTTCACATCCCCAATGTGCTTAGATTTCTGTGTTTTCTCTTTGCCAAAGAACCTCCATTACTTTTCTTTACCTACAGGATAATACCCAAATTTCACAGTTTTATTTTCAAGGGCTCCCATAGTACAGTTCAAATCAGGATTCTTACTGCATGTCTTCACATTCCTTACTTGGAACCCCAGGCATGTATTTTCATGCTTTGCTGAGTATTTTATCAGCTTATGACTGATCACACATTTATCTTACCCTTCTTCCCTCAGAAGTTTACCTAAGTTTTGCCACTTTAGTCCAATCTTCTCCAAGAGGTCCTCAGCAGTAACTTTGACCAGTATATGCCAGCCCTTCAGATGACTGAAGTCTGAATATCTTAATGTACCTATAACTCCTTAACTGTTTCACTTACTTTGTCACTTAGTTATTAACTTGTTTTATTTTATGGTTTCTTACTTCCTCTTCCTCAGAAGTAATAGATTGTAAGCTCTTAGAGGGCAGGCACTATGTTTTGTACTGTTTAAGAAGTCTTGACAGATGGATGCTCAGTAAAAATACTTGTTGAATGAATGAAGCATACTGTTCTATGACAAGCCAGAAGTAGTGAATGTTACATGTTTACAGTGGTTGCTTGTGACTTTACATTGTTACCATTATTGTTGTTTTTAATGTCTATCCTTTCACTGGGGCTTTTTCATCTGGCTACAGTTAAAGATAACATGAAATAGTTTTTATTTGGTGAATAAAACTAAGACACCTATTTCTGTTCATTTGAATTACAGGCAAATGTATTCGTATGACTTTATTGATGATCATCTTTAAGTTCTATCACAACTATTTCTCATACCTAGAAGAATTGATAATGAAATACAGGCCTTCAAAGAAATCCAAAGATTCTGTATCTTAGATTGTCAGATCTCACCGACTTCGGTTTTTACAGAATCCATGCCATGCCATTGAATTGGGCAATTTTTAGCCAGTGACAAAATGGCTTTTTAAAGGTTATCAGCTATAATTCTTAAATCTATTAACTTTATGCTTTTTTTTTTTTTTTTACTACCAAAGCACAAATAAGTTGTAAAATTGATTCACCCAAACCAGATGTGTCTATATAAATTTTGGGCCAGATTTTAATAGGTTAATGATTTTAGAAGATATGTTTATTTTCATTCTCTTTAGATTGCAGTTCACTAAGTATCAACTCACCTATTAAAAAACTTAGCTAGAGTAGTGTGTCTAAGAATGAGGGGAGGGAGATTGGTCACAGTATTGACATAAGATGTTGGGAACTCATGCCAGAGCCTTTTAAAGCTGTTTTTCTTCAGTATCTCTTAGTTTTATTTGGTCATCTTCCATTTCCCCAGTCTCCTTTACCCCCCTGTTATGTTTTTTTTTTTTTTTTTTTGTTCCTTGCTTTTTTGAGTGGGTGGGGGACTTTAACTCATTAAATGGAGTTAACTTTCTGTGGAGAAATGCTGAATTGAGTTTACTTAATCCATTAGTCCGTTCTTTCAAAGGGAAAAAACATCCTCCAAATGAGTTAATATTAACACATACAAGTAAAGTACAAATATTTATTAGGTAGTGGGTTCAGAAAGGAAAGGACAGATTTCAACAAGAAAACCTGTTGAGTGAGTTTGTTTGTTAAAAATATGAATGACAAGACTTCCAGTTATGATTGGTGATAGTAAAGATTTGATTCTATGTAT